TACAGTTAATGATAAAAACATCAAGCGTATTAAAATTTTTCTTTATTTGATACTTCAGCTATAACAAAACTTCACAAAACTGTTTTCTTCTGAAATGTACCTTAACTTGTATTACTTAATATATGAAATATCATTACATATTTTCAGAGTAAATTATTGCTTTTGATGTCTTTTTTTCTTTTAAAAGGATAAGAACTTTTTTTTAAAAAAAATAGAATTTAAGACTTCTAAAGAGAGCGACGAAAAATACTATAGTATATTGAAATAGGTATTATAACATATATATATATATATATATGTGATAATATTATATATTTAAGGTAATATATTAAACATAACGATACATTAAACTTCAATTTAAGGCAACCAGGACATCATGCACTTTCAAAAAATCGATTTTTCAATTTTAGTATTAAAAAATAGTGCATACTTTTCTGAATTTAAAAATGTATAACACTTATATGTTCGTTGATAACATAACCTTAAAATATAAAAAAAATTTAATTGACAAAAATATAAGCAAACGCTTACAAATGTTTAGTTTTTTCACTTTAACTCCAAAGCATAATTTTTTGCTTTTATGTACACTTTTTAAAAAAAACTATTACACTACACGGTTTCAAATTTGTTATACTTCTATACAGGATATCTGTGTATATAGTAAAGCTATTTTTTTGGTCGAAGTAATACATAACTTTTTTTAAAATTTTATGTATAAAAAGGTGGAAAAAATAGAAATTTTTCAAAATTTTCAAAGTTTTATAATTTTTTAAAGAAACTCTCTTAAAATTTTACCAAAAAAATAGGTTTACTATATTTTATGTATTGTTTTATACATGTGTAAAAAATATTTTACGTATTTAAGATATATTTTTTTAAAAGAATGGTACCTAAACATAAGCACATGTATTATGAGATCCCAAAAATTATGTCCAACTTAAATTAAACAGAATTTTTTTTAACGAAAAAAAAATATTTTTGTATTTCTACAGAATGATTAAAATATCTTTATTAAGATCACAAACAATCTAAGATCTATTGGAAATTTTTAAGGATATATGTCCCATAAATAAAGAGTCTAATATTTGGCATATTACTCTTTCGAGCATGTCCTGTGGTATTCTTACTTGAATGTTATCAATTCGCGTGAAAGAAGTATATTTGATTATTACACATGCAGCATCTTCGGTACTTAAAAGTTAGTAAGAGTGCAACTATTATTACCCCATTAAGTTTATTATAGGTATAGATTTAAAATGAAATAAACAGAATTTAAAAATAATGGAGTTTACAGAAAAATATAATGTTTATACTGACTGCGCATGGAATCGTGATTTTGAAAAAATGTATAAATGTACAATTTTTTTCATATAATATTTAGTGTCATCAGAATCATAATATAAAAATAAAATTGCTTTAAGTGTTTATTACAAGAATACATTACATTTAAATTAAATAATTTGGCAAAATAATAATAATAATAATAATAAATGACTTACTTTCCAATTGTTCTCATTTTCTAAAAAATTCTTCTATAATAGTAATATTTTGCCTATATACAGTAAGGGCTTCTGAGAGCCTGAACTTAGTCTTTTGAAATATTCACGATATTTTTTGACTTATGATCAATTGAAATAATAACCCTTGTTTTCCCTAAAATTTCTCTACTCTTATACACTAATATATGAATAAATTCCCTCCTAAACTATATATTTTAAAAATTCTTGTTCCGGCTTTCTACAGAAGTCTTACCTATGCACAGGCAAAAAATCATTTTTATAGAAGCATTCTTCATAAGAGGAGATTGCTTTGAAAATTTTTAATTTTCCATCTTTTTTCGCCAAAAAAGGGCAATTAAATGGTTTTTTTTTGGAATAATATTCTTAAAACAATTTTGTATGTGTATTCTAATTTAAGCGACACTAAATATAAAAGAATATTCATTTATACGCTTTTTCAAAATCATGGTTTCGAACGTAAACATGTTTTAAATTATTACATATCAATATTGGATCCCCTTAACTTTTAATTTTGGACCATTCTTTGCAAAGGGGGACTACAAATAAATTCCTTGAAAAGCTATTATATCAATAAATTATTTAATATCCACAAAAAAAAATTAAATTTACGGTTTATAAAATTGTAATCTTAATTTCATAAATAATATGACATAAATTGTAAATGCACCATAACAAGAGAGAACTCACCATATCGAATTCTTGGAAGTTATTTTCTGAATGAAGAGGAAAACACGTGTGTTCACTTCGGAAGTTGCTTTCCAATTACTGCCGATTTTATCGTCTGCTCAATTTCGAAAGATCGGCCATAAACTATGGCATCATCCGAGAAATATCTCTGATTTGTATATCTGAAGTATTATCCTTATCTCCTTATCCTCTTGCTTCATCGTAATATTGATTAACATCTCAGATTAAATTAAAGTTACCATTTGAAGACAAGTGATGTATATTTTCTCAGAAAGAAAGATTTTGATGGAGAAATCGAATGCAATGATTCTTTTTTTCTTCATTTGGTTTCTAGAGTAAAAATCAGTGAAAAATGTAGTTTAAGGGGACACGGTATCTTGAAAAATTTATTTTTACTTATATATACGATTATTCATCATTCCTTTCAAGGTTTCAGAGCGCTGTAGAAACAAGCAACATAGAAAAAAATTAAGGCAATTCCTGCTTAGGTCAAGAAAGAAAAATTTTACTTTAGTTACTTTTTATTAAATAGTTACAATTAATGTAACTATGTATATACATATGTCAAAATCATACTAAGTGACAAAATGGAAAGCTATTTTCCTTGCGATTTTCCATTTTCCTTTCTATATACGGTGTTGGACTATTATTTTTGTTTGCTACTAATTTATTCATTCATTAAATTTAATTATTTCAATTAAATGGTACAGTAAAAAGAAATCACATTCTGAGAAATTAGGTCCTCCCAGGTACGACTTTTGAATTAGAAGTCCAATGCGCTATCCATTACGTTACAGAGACACGACGAGTGATTTTCCTTTTTATATATGCTGTTGGACTATTGTTTTCTTGTTTGTTACTATTTATTCATTAATTTAATTAAATTAATGAATTAATATTTGAAAAAACTGTATTAACATCAAGTGTATCCACTACAAGTTTTAAAAAATGTATTTGAACTTGAATGGATTAATAGAAAGTATTTTATGGGTTGAAAATTTGAACAGGATATATATAAAATTATATATGAAAATTTTCTATACCCTTTTTTTATTTTTACCTTTGTATTAATATTTAAAAATCCCCTTTTTTTTGGTTTAAAAATAACATTGTAATCTTAATCGTAATCGGCTAGTCCAAACCTGCCCCGCCCATTCACCCAATCAGAACTACTATAAGTAAAAACCCACGTCGGTAAAAAAAGCAAAAATCTTGTGTAATCACTTTTTTGTCTGCTTGCCTTATATGTAAGAATTAAATAACTGCATTTCTTTGTCTTTGTCCCAACCCTGCCGCTGCTTATTCAATGTGAAAATGTACCGCAATTGGGTTTTAATCCAATCTGCTGATGGGCTTCATAAAAAAAAGATGAAAAGTTTTTTTAAGATGTATTCAATCTATCAGATATGACAACAACCAACACCGGCCAACGCTACTATTAATACTATATATATATATATATATATATATATATATATATATATGAGGGAGTGAGTGGATACTAACGTAGCACTGTTTAGCTACTCGAAGGCTTTTGGCGACGGACCTCATAATTTTGAACCATGGGGAAGTGATGAGGACGACATCTGAGCTGGCACCCCCTTTCCTAACTATCACACCACACCAACGGGAGAACTTTTCAAGCTCTCGTCTGATTTAACGTTGATCGCTCCCTACACGCAGGGTCTTCAGTTGACACGCCAGCCACGAGTCCGTTACCTTATATATTATATATATATATATATATATATATATATATATATATGGAGAGAGAGTGAACTAATAATAGGAATTGAAAAATTATTAAGAGGAATACAGCAAAAGGGAACATATGAAATAATTCAAGTTTTATTTACATATTTTAAAGGTGTTCTATATGTGAACCCTTGGTCTTACGGCATACATCAATGCGATAGTCCAGTTCCTGCCTCACTCAACTCAACACAGTACTGTCAATGTTATTGATAACACGTCTTAATCGAAAACTTAGTCTTTTGAGTAAGACTACTTTTTTTGTACCTCTTTTGCCGCTTGATGTTGTACTACTGCATAAAAGGATAACACGTGCTATCAACAACGTTGATAGCACCATGTTGAGTAGAATGTTGACTCCACTGTTTGCAGGAACTAGACCAGTGATTCCCAATGTGGTCCCTACGGACCCCAGGGGTCCCTTATATTACTCAAGGAGTTCGTGGAAAATTAAAATCGATTTGGGGGTTCTTGAACAATATCAAGGGGTCCGCACAAGGTTTAGTATTAAAAAAAGTGTGTGTGTACTTAAGTACGCGCACGTAAGAAGTTATACTTCTTTGGCGTAACAAGATTAAAATCTCTCTAAAAATCTTTGGAAGGGCAAGCTGGGCCAAGGACGAAAGGAGATCACGAGCATTGAACGATACTAACCTTCAGTCAATCGCACCAGCCAAACCTGAGATAATCACGATTTAAATAAATTTAAACACCCCCCACAGGGACAATAGGACCAATAATGTGAGAAGGGGGTCGAAGGTGGGAATGATCTGTCCCTTTCTGCATATTTCTAGACAAAGCATTTTCGTATCCGTTCCTACGGAACACAAAGCAAAGGCTCTCTGACTTGGGGTGTACAGCATTCGACTGCAGATCGGGAGGTCCCAGGTTAAAACCCGGGTGCCCCCATTTTCAGGGAAGTGAGGAGAACTAATTTTTTTGAGAATTTCGAAGGCGGCAAATGATCTGTCCTGCTCTATATTTTAGACAAAGCATTATCGTATACTGCTCTTGGCGGGAAATCACAGCAGTTGCTGACGCGGGTGTATAGCTCAGTGGTAGAGCATTCGGCTGCAGATCGAGAGGCCTCCTGGTTCAAATCCGGGTGTCCCCTTCAGGGAAGTGAAGAGAAATATTTTTCTGAGAATTCAGAAGGCGGGAATGATTTGTCCTGTTCTGTATATTTCTAGAAAAGGATTTTCGCATCCGTGATTTGGTGTATAACACATCCGTGACGGGGTTCGAGAGGGCATTGTAAAATTTCTACCCTCATATCCTATTTCTCTAACGTCCCAAAAGAAGTATAACTTCAAAAATAAAATTGTGACCCATTTTTATTATTATTATGGAAATTTAAATAAATAACAATAAATAAAATAGTAGCGATTTTTACGTCCTAAGTAAAATATAAATATAGGTGGGTGCTTAAAATATAATATGCTATTTAAATTCTGAGCGTTATGTAACATCTTTTGTGAATATTGACAAAACTTACTTAAAGTATCCGACTACGTTCGGAACCGTGATTTTGCAAAAGTGTATAAATGGATAATATTTATGATATTTAGTGTCACTTAGATTAGAAAATGTATATAAAATTGTTTTAAGAATATTATTACAATAAAAAAATCTTTTTTCACCTTCCAGGTTTAATTTTGTTCCTGAGAGATAACTCCAAATTACCTGTTTGTGAAGGAATCTAGTCAGATATAATTATTTTATATATAGTCCACAATATTAATTTCGAATATACTAATATAATAAATAATTACAAATAAATTAAATGTTTATAAAATTATGTATTAACTAACTTTGTAACGAATGGTAATAGAGCGCCCTCTCCTGGCTGTATGGACAAGTAACCAGTCTGGCTTCCTCGGTGAAGGAAGGACGTGCCAGAGTCAGCCTGCCATCTCGGTGGAGAAAGAACATGCCAATGTCCGCCTGCGCAAACCCCTTATTATTCGTATAAAGATTAACTGTTTTTTTTTGTAACTGTGCTCAATTAGAAAGTACAACCAATTAAAACTATTTGAGCTAGCCGCCGGTGTTATTTTTGAATACACGTTATAACTTAAATTATTAATTAAAGTTAAATCCAGTGGCATGCGTTAAATAATTAAGTGAAAGATAAATTGATTGTAGTATATTTAAAATATTATTGAATCAATTTTCCGTGATGTAGGTTTATAGGTGTGTTAGATTTATAAGTATTTTAGCCAGTAATTGAGATATGAAAAATTTATTAATGATTATACGATTTATTGCTGAAATTTTGTTCTAAACTAGAATCAAGAGTAAATATTTTCCAAGTTTTCCAAGATTTAAAAAAAAAATCTTTTTTAGAGGAAAATTCACCCTAAATAAGGTAAAAAATGTATGTTATTTAATCCCTTACAAATTTTCTTTGTAGATGATATTTGTTTATTGTACTGTCTATCTATACTGTCTATCTGTCCTTCCTACTTGACTACTCTAAAGAATATACTATACATCTTGGTATTTCAAATAAAATCAAAAATAAAAATAATCAAGCACAGAAAAGGGGAAATCTGAGTTGAGTTCTGGTGAACTTTAATACTGTGTCCAAATATTTACGACAAAATCATTGCCTTATCGTTCTCTAGATCAAACATCGTAAATGCTAACAGAAAGGACAGAGAAATCCCCTATTTTTGCCTCATCGTATCGTTTATGTTGTAAACAGATAACTTTCCGGAACTATCCTTATTTTAGGGTTTCTCACATGGCTTCCCTTATTTTCTAATGAATTGTTGATTTTACACATTATTATGACAATTAACATAATGGCAAAACTCTATTTCTAAAAATTATTTGTTAACAATGTCTAAATGTCGACTTATTTTTTTCATAGTTCATTTTTTTCATTTCTTATACTCGATGTTACATATTGATCAAGAAAAAATAAATTTATTGCAAAGAAATCAATTAAAGCAATTTTAATAAAAACTCAAAATACAATATTTATATTCATACAATTATACTATGAAATTGCAGACAAATGTGTTTTAAAGAAACCGTGTTATCTAATGTATTAAAAATTAGACAAAAAAAAACCATTGTGCTTTATAAAAAACAAGTAATATAGTTTTTTTTATAGTCAATTCCTTTACTTCGTTAGAAAAACGTCCTGGCGCCATCTGTTGCATCTAGTTGTAACTTTGTCAGAAATAAAGTAGAATAAATTTAAAATTAAAATCAAAATTTAACCTTCTGACCGGAACATCCGTCTCTCAGACGGGAATGATTTGCTTTGATGCATGTAGATAACGCTGTGGTGTGTTTTGGGGTGGGCTGCCTTGACATCTTCAGTTGGACTCTACCCAGTGAGAGGATCACGCTTGGCGATTTTTTTCAACTCCCGATATATGTGATTTTTCTTATCTATCACCGTTTATCAGACGGATATTCCTATAGTTTTTTCGTGCTTGGTATTGTTATTTTTAGTTTCTTTTACATGAATATAAATAATTTTTAATCAGTTTTTATAAAAATGCTAGTCACAATTCGAGTGATAAAAATATTTTTTTGTGCTTGAATTAACCCCACACATCTTATTTGAGCCATACTCAATTTCATGAGCTATAAGGACATTTAAAACAGTCCTTAAGGTAATAAATTTCAAAAAAAAAAAAATTTACGTACACGTCTGTCAGATGGATGCTTCTCAGTGCGGTGAAAAAATTCATGTTCTCGCCAGAGGGTTAATTAATGAGTTAATGTTTGAAAAAACTGTTTTAACATCAAGTGTCACATCCACTACAAGTTTTAAAAAATGTATTTGAACTTGAATGGACGAACAGAAAGTATTTTATTAACAATTGAGAATATTTGAACAAGATATATATATATACTAGCAGCATGGTCCGGCGTTGCACAGGCTTCTTCAAGTGTGTAGCTATTTACCTTGGAATTTCCCCCTTCCTATCTTAGTGACAGCACTTACTGGTGTGCATGAGTTTTTCCACAATGGGTATAACTTTGTCTCTGTATGAATTTCCCTCTCTTTTCTCTTTCTTTCTTGTACGCCAGTACTTCTGGGTACGCGTGATGTGAGCAATTTCTATATTTATGTCATTTAAATTCCGAAATTTCTTCCACTTCTTTTCTTTGTCGGACAGGTTTCTTTTCCCTCCGTTCAGCCTGGCGTTGCACGGGCTGTTTCAAGTATAAAACTCATTTTTTCCCGGGATAAGATCCTTTTTTTTATTGTAATTTCTATTTTTGATTAATAATTTACAAAGCTAATACAGTTTTATTCACAAGAATTTACGAGTTTAAATAATTAATTTAGTAATAAATAACAAAAAGCAATGCAGCTTTAATTTTTTTAAAAATAATAATAATTTATATGCATTTTTGTTAAATAATGAATCAAAAAATTCGTACAGTTGATTGAACAAAAAATTGAACAGTGGCGTAGCGGCATGTTTTTAAAATCGTAGATAAACAAAGGTACCTATTTATGTGAGGCTAACGTACCTATCTATTTGAGGCTATCTTCTCACGAATCGCTGAATGAAAAAACACGCCGAAGGTATCAAAAGATCAATATCAATGATCCGAGGAATCCCCCCATTTTTTGACTATTTAAATTCCGAAATTACAATTAATTATATAAAAAGATATTAATTAAAAAGGATAAAAAACACAATTCATGTATATTATTGTAAAAATGCAAACCTGGTTTGGCCAGTTTGGCTGAAAAAAATCGGTTTCGGACGCCAACTTACGTCATTTTTATAACAATAATGTTGTTACAACAATGCAGACGAAAGTTGAGTTGAATGTTTTTCATGTTTTTAATTAATATCTTTTTAACTAATTGCAATATTGTAATATAAATAGTCAAAACGGCTTTCTCGGATTATTCCCCGTATTTTGGTACCTTCGGCGAGTTTCTGTGTGGTGGGTTCTAAAGTAACCGAAAAGATAGATACGTTTCTTACCTACCTGTTTTAATTTTAATATATATATATATAGGAGGAGTGAACTAATAGTAGGAAATTGAATGAAAATGTCTACTGCAGGACAGATTATGTAAGGTGGGACCGAGCCAGCCCCTTTTCATTTCTTATTAATATATTTTTATACCAAAAGCCTGCCCTAAAAAATTTCGAAAGAGCCCACTATGGGCTCTATTTAAATATATTGCGCGGTCAGTGTGTAAGAATAGTGATTTTAACATGCGATGAAAATGCCTTGATAAAAAATACTCTGATAAATATAGTGCAAAGAATTCAAAAAGAAAAAAAAATTATCAATTTAATTTGAATTTAGAATTTTTAAATATGTCATATTATTTTGGTGCTAAGCCTGAACATTCATTAACTTTAGTGATCAGTTGAATTGAACACTAACAAGTTCCTAATCTCGACCTTCGTCTCAAAGGGTTTCCCTTAAATAACCTTATATAACCCGAAAAATTTTCCAAAAAAGTCAGTACCACAAAAGACCCGCCTTTGGGGGCAGCGATGCATTAAATCTGCGAGAGCTGAAACGTCCTCCCGTTGGTGTGGTGTGGTAGTTAGGAGAAGGGGTGCCAGCTGGGGTCATCCATGTCACTTGACCCCGGGTTAAATTACGTCCGCGCCAAAAGCCCCGTGTAGCTGAATAGTGCGACGTTTATTCCTCCCCCCTATTCCAGAAAGTCGATCCCAAAGACTTCTTGTGAGTTTTTCATCGATATAATTTTTCATCGAAGTTGTCACCAATCTGTGGTAACTCTGGTCATATCTTCTAAAGTTGCATTGATCTTATTTTTTAAGTTTATGCTGGAAGGTCAACTTTCCCTGTAAAACTCACCAGCAGAGTATCACTGAAGGAAATATATATATATATATATATACGTAGCATTTTTCACTATAAATAAGGTAATATTAGTTTTGTTTTGATTGGGAGATAAGGGAGCATTTGAAATCATTTAACGCTCTGTGTATACATACAACTATGTATATTTGGTACAAAAATTAGCAATAAAACAAATTTTCGTTCACAGTCAAGAGAACTAAGAATAAGGAAAATTACACGTATTTTCATTAAAAATTATAACTTAAAAAAACTGGTTAAAAAAGTGAGCTGCTGATCGTCGCT